ACTTTTTTCTTTAACTTAAAATTACTTGTGAGTAAAGCACACAACAACATAAAACTGGAAGCATAACTCACACAAATCATATGACATCATATAAGCATACAAAGGTAAGTACGGCACATAGCAGTCAAATCTCAAAAACTTAAATACTGTAAGGCGTAGAATTTACCCCCTTTACACTCACCTCGAAAAGAGGACTCCTTGTTTCGTTACTCGAAGAAGTCTCTCCCATGGCTGATCATTTTACGTCTTACTTGCAAAGTCCAAGCATGCTCAAATCTCTATCCCATCCATGCATTTCCAAAGGCTATGTCGTACCGCATCCCAAAAAGTCACCAAGTTTTCATGTCCATTAGTCATTATACATGAATATCCTTAAGCAACCATCTGGTTCTTCTCCTCGTATTCATCAGCACATCCATTGCTTTAAGCCACCTAACTACCCATTGGCAAAACCCAATTATCACTCCTAATTCGTTGTATTCCCATCCATATCGAGTCATCTATGAGTTGGGACAGTTGGGTGCTTACCGCGATGGTGGATGGCGATGCGAGGGGACAAAATTAGTTTGGCGCTTCTCTCCCCAACGGACCGTTTCTAATGGGTGCTACCCTCCTAGTCCAAGTAATTACGCCGCAAATTCCATACTGTCCCTGCCAATTCCCAAAACCTTCCGTCCCACGAAAGCCTGTCGTCGTTCCTTGTGATTCTTTTGGAATCTCGGCAATAGCCAGAGCAGAAGACGGTTCTCGAGGAAGATAGCAATCCCGCTCCTTATTCTTTCGCTATCGTCTCCTAGATCGCGACCTGTATCTCTCTGCCTTCCTTTTCATGGGATTTTTTTTTTGGTAGAAAACAGAGCGCATGGGGCGCTCTAACCCTTAAATATTAATAATACGAGACGTTTGAACGCCAATAGAGTCAAACAATAGCCAGTGTCTCAGACTCGGTCCCGGGTTATCCAAGACATGCAGCCCCGGATTCAAAGAGTGCCCAACATTCGCCAAAAAATCAGCAACATAGTTCCCTTCCCGGTAGACATGCTCCAGCGTGGTCTCCCATTCCCGTCTCAACAGTTCTCTTATAGCATTTGCCAATGAACGGTGGGGGTGGCTCTCCCTTTGCGACTGAATGATAGCTAAAGCCGTCCTCGAGTCAGTCTGGATACGCACTTTCCGGACTCCTGATTCCCAAGCAATACACAGACCATGATATATCCCGGCCAACTCCGCGTGCGTGATTGAATGATCTCCCAAATTTGCTGAGAAGGCTCTCAAGAGCCTGCCGTCACTGTCCCAAAGCACCCCACCTGCCGTGGCACTTCCCGCGGATAGAATTACGGAACCATCTGTATTCAAAGCAGTCCAACCAGGAGGAGGCTTTTCCCAGCCAATCATGTCTTCGGTCTTCTCCCTTCCATCGCCCACGGCCTGTTGAGTTTTAACAAAAGCTAGGTGGCACTGATGCTTCAGCTCCACTGCTCGGCGGGCAAGCATCCAGGGAGGCTCCAAACATTTTTCAAACACCCAAACATTGCGGTTCTTCCATAGCTTCCAGTAGAGAATTGCAAATAAGGAAGCATCGATCACTTTGCTCTTGCCCGCCAGATAATAATGTATCCATTTTGTGCTATCTTCTTCGAAGAAGTTCCCATCAGGCTCATCCTCAAGTACTTCCGACCATACCGCCCGGGCGTACGAACAGTCCCTTATTACATGCAAAATAGTCTCCGGGCCGCCACCGCAGACCGGGCAAGTGTCCGTCTGAGCAATATGTCTCCTGCACCTCTCGCCATTAGTAAGTAACTTACCTTGTAGCACCAGCCAAAAAAAGGAGCGAGTTCTCTGGGGTCCCTCTATTCGCCACGCACGCCGCCAAACCGGGTGAGACTGGCCAACCTCCTCCTCCGCTCTCAGAAGGTCGTATGCGGATTTAACAGTGAAACGGCCCGAGGGTGACAATCTCCAGATTGGGACGTCCGGGTCTCCCTCTGTCGGCACCGGGTGTAGGGCCAATTGCAGAACAAGTGCTTCGGGGAGAAACGCTTGCACGTACTGCAGATTCCACTCTCCATTCAGTACCAATTCGGCTACAGTGAGCCTCCTCGCCTCATCAGGCAAACCAATGGCGAAATCAGCTAGAGGTGGCCCGTCCTGCAACCAACAATCCTCCCAGAATCTCGTCTGCCCTCCACTCTTGACATTCCACATCGTCCCTTGAGGAATAAGGTGAAGGATCCGTAGCACTCCCTTCCACAGATTAGACATCCGACCCGTCGTTCGGGGCAGCCACCCATCATCAGTCTTCTTCAGGTACTTGCTTCGCACAACTCTCGCCCATAAGGAATCAGCTTCCGTCATAAGCCGCCAAGCTATCTTCATCATGAAAGCCTCATTCATATGAGTTGCATTTCGCATGCCCAGCCCACCCTGGTCTTTCGGCTTACAGACGGTCTCCCAATCCACCAGATGGATCTTGCGTCCTTGCTCGGAGCTCCCCCAGATAAACCCTCTTATCTTCCTATCAATATACTATCGTACGGAGGCAGGCAAGAACGAAGTCTGCATCATGTAAGCTGGGAGCGATGACAGAACTGACTGTGCTAACGTGATCCTCCCTACCAGAGACAGTGTCTTGACTTTCCAACCAGCCAGCCTTGCATCTATCCGATCAATGAGCTCTGTGAATGTTGCTTTGGAGACCCTGTCATGGATCACCGGGACACCCAAGTATCGCCCTAGATTTTTCGTCTCCGGGATGTTCAAAGCATTGCTAATTACTCCTCCCTCTGCCAAGTTGACATTTCGCAAGAAAAAAACTCTTGACTTGGGCCTGCTAACTTGTTGCCCTGATGCTGCCCCAAATTCTGCCAGACACTGAAGGATAACCTGGACCTGCTCGAGGGAGGCAACACTGAAAAGTATGAGATCGTCAGCGAAAAATAAGTGTGAGAGAGTCGGTCCGCGGCTCGACAGCTTGACAGGCTTCCAATCCCCTCTCTCTACAGCCGCCGATATGAGGTGGCCAAGCCGTTCCATACAAAGGGTAAAGATATACGGAGAGAGAGGACAGCCTTGGCGTAATCCTCGAGATGGTTCGAAAGGCTCAGTCAATCCACCGTTCCACTGTATCTGCATAGTCGGTGTGGAAATGCAGCTCATTGTTAAGTCAATAAAACTCTGGGGCACGCCTGCTGCCTGCAAAGTGTCACGAACAAAACTCCACTTGATCCTGTCATACGCCTTGGCTAGATCAATTTTAAGGACCATCCATCCCGTCTTCCCTTTCTTAGCCCTCATCGAATGAACCACTTACTGCAAAATGCAAATATTATCCGTTATATGTCTACCGGGAACAAAACTCGTTTGAGTTTCATGCACCAGCCGAGGCATGATTGGCTTGATTCTCTCCGCCAAGCACTTCGTAAGCATCTTGTATGTAACGTTGCAGAGGCTAATCGGGCGGAATTGATCGATTGTAGCTGGTTTTGCAACCTTCGGGATGAGTACCACGATTGTATCATTAAGATCCTTCACTCGCAAAGGCTGGGACCAGCAAGCTTGGATAAACTGCAGTACCGCAGGGCCCACCAACTCCCACTTCCGCTGGTAGAACAACGGATTAAGCCCGTCTTTGCCTGGCGCCTTAAGCGCGCCCATCGCCTTCACCGCACCCTGAATCTCCTCCATTGAAAACTGTCGTGCTAAGGGTAGCCACAACTCCGTAGGGACCTCGTCAAAACAGGCCTGCAACACGACACTAGCACCATTTTCATCAGTGTATAAATCCTCATAAAATTCCCTTGCCATATCCAACAGGGAAGTCTGTTCCGTCACCCATTCCCCATTATTATTCCTCAACGCCGCCACTCTGTTTCTCCGCCTCCGGCTCATGGTTCTTAAGTGGAAGTACTTAGTGTTGCTATCCCCTGAAACAATCCAAGTCGACCGCGATTTTTGGTACCAGAGTAATTCTTCCTGTAAGAGGATATCTTCGAGCTCGGATCGAGCTAGACCGAGTCTCGGATCATCCGAGTCACCCCCACCCTGCACCTCCAGTCTCTCTATCCGTCACAGAATAGCATTCTTCTTCCTGAATATATTCCCGAAAACATTATGGTTCCAATTTTTTGCATCCGCCGTAAACTCTGCTATAGAGTTGAGAAGGTCCGTCCCCCGCTCCCATGCTCCCGTAGCCATCTCGTGAAAGCCCTCATGCACCAGCCACGCCGCCAGGAATTTGAAAGGTTTTGGGCCAGCTGGCTGGAACATGGGGTTCAAAGTAGCAAGGATTGGGCGATGGTCGCTTCTCAGTCTAGGAAGGTGATTAATCACTGTATCCGGGAACATGGCATTCCAAGCAGCATTCGCCAAAGCCCTGTCGAGCCTCTCCTTAATACCTGTCCTGAACCACGTGTAAGGAGGCCCCGTGAACCCCAGATCGAGCAAACCAGCATCCAAGACACAATTTTGGAAGTCACGTGCCCGCACCGCATCAAAGGGTGCACCGCCCTGCTTGTCATTCGGCTGTAGAATGGAGTTGAAATCTCCCGACAAGATCCAAGGCTCCGTTACCTCATCCGCCATCGTACGAATAGCCTCCCAAAGCTCTCGACGCTGGATGAGCGCTGGGTTATCGTAGATAGCCGTCAGCATCCATTGCTCTTGGCCGCTTTGAACTCTAACGTGAAGAAACTGGTCCCCTCTGTCAACCTCAGTAATCGATGCCACCCCGGAGTCCCAGAGTAACCAAATTCCACCCGACCTGCCTACTGCCTCTACCACAATGTGCTTGTCATATCCCAGATCTCGAATAACCTCTTCCGCTCTATTTCCACTGATTTTCGGTTCCACCAGAGTAACTATATTTGGTTGATAACGCCTACGATACTCCCTGAACACTCGCAGGAAGCTTTTGCTCCCCGCCCCCCTACAATTCCATGTAAAGATCTTTATCATTGATAATACAGAATAATAGGGAACCTCAGCATTCTCTTGGACACTCAAAGTGAGGTAGCCTCCTCATTGAGGCCCTCTCCTACCTTCCCATTACCGTCGCTTAATACTTTCCCTTGTTGGCCATCCATCCTCGTTGGTATGTCCCCTCTTGGAATGTTCGGAACTCTGGGATCCGGTGGCTTCTCTTGTTTGTTACCACCGATCCCTTTGCTAAGCTTCCCCATGTCACCTTGGCCCAGCTCCATCCACATGGCATTGCTACCCTGGCTTGGTGGGGATATGGTGCTAACGTGATTTGTTACCGTTTGTGCTATCGGACTAGGTCGGGGAGAGGAATACTGGGGGTCCGAGGGTGGTTGATCCACCGGCGGGTCCACTTTTGTATTGGATTTGGACTGCTCACAGTTGGTCAGGTTCACAACCTCCTTCTCTTTCTCCCTCTCGTTAGATTTTCCTTTATTTTTATCCCGTTCTTCAGCAGAATGCATGGGTCGTATTTCCGTCGAAGCACCCCCCTCGCCCCCTATCTCTTCCACCTCCAGTACATTAAATCGAGACCCATTTTGTCTTTCCCTCTCTTGTACCTGAACTCTCCGCTTTTCTTGGCTTCCCCTTTCCGGCTCTGAGGTCGGCCTGCGAGACCTTGGCTTCTTCTTAGCGATCATCCACTCCCCATACACTGTATCTGGTTGCTTAGGCTCAGTCCTTGTAGGGGTAGCAGCGGGTTCCTCCACCTCCATTTCCTCATTCCTCCCCATGCAAGAGCACCGAATGCGCTCGAAATACGTACCACACTGCAAACATATTTTGTCAAGCCCCTCATATTGAATGAAGTACTTCTTCCCGTGGATAGTAAATTGGGATAACAAAGGTCGAGTTAAATCAACTTGGACGCAAACTCGGGCGTAGTTGCTTCGCGCCCCCGACAGTGTTGCATGGTCTACCCGCATGGGTTTCCCTATACGTTCTCCAAGCCTCATTACCGCCACTGGGTGGAAATAGTGGATCGGCAGCTCCAACAGTCTAGCCCAAACAAGGGTCGACGAAATCTCATGTTCGTATGGATTAAAGTCCTTCGTCCATGGGTGTACGGTTAAGTAGTTATCACCCACTAGCCACGGTCCACCTGTTAAAGCTCTCTCATAGTCTATCCCACTCGTGAAACGAACGAGGAAGTAGCCTTTTTAACCGACGTTACTTGAATCGATCCCGCCTTCTCCCAAATGCTCTGCAAACGCTTCAGCATCATCGTGTATGAGACTGTTTGCCCTAGCGCCTTCACCACAAGGGTTGATCTCCATTGACGACAGAACATTCTCTCTTCCGCCGCGGTGTAATGAATAGCCGGGCACTTAGGATCACCCTCGCCTTCGCCATCATGCTCCAAACCATCCTCACGTATGCTGGCCATCACATCTTCAGAGTCCGAATCTGCAATGTACCACATCTCAGACCGAGGCGCCTCGCTGAAAAGCTGTCTCGCCGCCCCTTTCCCATCCCCCCATGCCGGGGTTTTGGTACCGGCCGGGGGTATCGTTTGTTGCCTATCAGCTCCAACCTTCTCCGCCGATCCCCCTGCCTGACTGGATTCACCTGGTATCGGAACCGTTTGTTTCACCCTTTTCATGGACTGCTGCGCCTCTCGTTCGCCCTTAGGGTTTGGCGAGGAGGTCTCGGTCGGGGGTCGCCTTTGTCCGGTCACCGTGTCTTCATGCATAATAACATCGTGGCCGCCCCCGGCCAGCGGTGTAGGCACCGCCGGCATGGAACGCTAGCTCGGAAACCCTACTGCTCGCAAGGGAGAATTTTCCTCTCTCCGAACTTTTCGGAAACCCTATAAACTTTAACTCCCATAATTTATAGTCTTGAGACTTTTGATACACACGCATTATACACACGACTAGCAACGAGACTTTTAGGTTTTTGTCTTTTAAGTGATATATATGTATAATGCGTGGTGGACATTTGTGGAAGCCGGTTGGTTTAGGTTTAGGGTTTCAAGGGTATTTTGGGAATTTCACTATTATTGGTGAGTTTAATCCGAAACTCAGTTACCGTCCGTAACTTTCTCGTTTTAGGTCAAGACTCGACACCGTTTGAGCCGATCATTCACATTTTTAGTCCTCACCGATATTATGGCGGAATTTGACAAATTTGGACCAAGGGCATAATGGTCATTTTGGCTTAGAAAAAGATGGGATGTAACAAAAACTAATCCGCTAGATAATGTTTCAAACAGTCGAAGTAGCGGTACATGGGCCGGCCCGGGGCGATATTTAAACGTACTTGCCATATATTGCACCCATCTAAGGTTATACTTGGGTCTTAGGTGGGATTTTATTATGATAGTCAGAGCGAGTCAAGGCTTTGGCATGGTGGTAAGAGATAGCGCCGAAAACTTCAAAATGGCAGCAGTTCATCGAACAAGAACCTCGTGGACTCCCAAATTAGCTTAAGCGAAGGTGATTAACTAGGCACCGAGTTTGGGCATTAATCACTAATGTCGTCCGCTCATGGTAGAATCGGACTGCTTGTCGACGATAAGTAAGATCCATGAAGATGATCGAACATAAATGAAAATCGAGACAGTTTGCTCAGAGATCAGAAATTTGATGAGGGAAGAAATGGAGATCAGTGTGTGATTCTCGGGGACGAAAGGGAATGAAGCTGCTCACCGATTGCTAGGGTGAGATGTTGCTGGGAAGAATGAGAGATATGGTTCGAGTGACCTCCGATTGGCCCATCTTACACAAGAATGACATGCATAATTCTCTTTCCCAAAATTTCTAGCTATCTTCATTAGAGTTCGAATATTGTAGAGCTTCTTCAATGCATATCCAGTAACCTCACGACGGCCCAACCAAATGGGCTACCTTGCTAAATGGGCCAACCGCCCCAAACCTCAGTGATAGAGCCCGATTCCTTTCCTTCCTAATCATCAAATCAGTAAGTATAATAAGGAAAGCATGCGTTGGGCAGATTCTTTCTCCCTCTTTCGCGAATCGGGTTCGCTCGCTCTCTTCCTTTCCCCGAGAGCATTTCCCCTCCTGTTTGCGTATTTGCTTGCTCTTTCCCTCTCCATCGCCAAACAGCGAACAGCGAAGGTTCGTCGTTTCAATCCCTTCATTCATTAACTCTGTTTCTTTACTCATTAGCAGCATCTTAATTTTGTCAATCATCCTGCAATCGAGGTAAACGTTCCGATCTTTTCCCGTCCCCCGAGGCTTTTCCTTTCACCCTCTGTATCGTTCCGTAATCTGCTGGTTGATATCGGATCGAGTTCTTGTGACCGTTTGTGTGTTCGATTGTGTGAGTGATTTCGTTTCTGTGCTTCGTTTTCTGATGGGTGGATGATTCGTCTTGGGTATGTTTGTTATTGTTCTCGTTTCTGTTTTATCCAGCTGAATTTCGAGCTGGGGGTATTGGAAAATTAGGGTTCATGAGTTTTTAATTTTTTTGCAAACTGATGAACTTGCTGGGTTGGAAGTGAATTTCATTTTCTAGGGATCGTTGCTGTTTTCCTATTCATTTTTTGAAGTTGGGTGTATCAGGGTTTTCATTTCTTTATCCTAGCGGTGATTGAATTATTAGGGTTAGTAATTTAATTTGGGTGTTTGTGTGTTGCAGAACCAGAAACGATGCCGAAGAACAAGGGAAAAGGTGGAAAGAACAGGAAGAGAGGAAAGAACGAAGCCGATGACGAGAAGCGTGAGCTGATCTTCAAGGAAGACGGGCAGGAGTATGCCCAGGTGATGCGTATGCTGGGTAACGGCCGTTGTGAGGCCACATGCATCGACGGGGTGAAACGACTGTGCCATATCCGTGGCAAGATGCACAAGAAAGTTTGGATTGCAGCTGGTGACATCATCCTAGTGGGTCTCCGAGACTATCAGGATGACAAGGCTGATGTTATTCTGAAGTACATGCCGGATGAGGCCAGGCTTCTCAAGGCGTATGGTGAACTTCCTGAGAACACTCGTCTTAATGAGGGTATTGCTGGAGGTCTCGATGAGGAGGATGAAGGTGCTGGTGATGACTACATCGAGTTCGAAGATGAAGATATTGATAAGATCTAAAGAGCTTTTGGGATTGTGTGTAATACACTTTGTTATATTCAAGCTATAGCTCTGTAATCTTGTCTTTTTTACTGGATCTAGAGAGTTTGTGATATTTCCGAGTTTGTAGCTCTGCTGTATGCTCTTTGGGGTACTTTCCTTCATAGAGTGTTGTACTTCTGTCTTTTCTATTTTGAATCTATTATGCGGTTACTGGATTCATATCTCGTGATGCCTGAAAATCAGGCACAGGGTTTTACATAGGTTGGTAGCTCTTTTTCTGAATTTGTCCATAGTTAAATCTGTGCTTGGAAGGCAGATGAGCAAGTTACAGCGAATGTTTGGGTTCCGGCATATGCTTGGAGTGAAATTAATAGAAACTAGTCACTTCATTACGGCGTATTCAATGTTTTAAACAATGGCTAAGATTTCTAAGTTTATTCGAAATATCGCTTTCAGCTCAGTTCACAAGGAAGTGAATGTTGCCATAGTTGTAAGATGCTGAAGCATCTTTACACTTGTTTTCTCTGTTGCTGGTTGATCTTTTCAGCTTCTGATCCTTCTCGTGCTCTAAACTGGCACAGCTCTTCTTGACTGTCTGTTTGAGAACAAGAACCATATTGAAGAAGAGAAGAAGATAAAACTTCAGATTGCAGTAAACAGATACAACTGAGCTATTCTCTTTTGAGAGGGAGAGAACTTCACCTTTTGCTCTTTTGGAGGACATTGATAGCATGGCGCTGTTTTCCTCCTGGAGATACTTCTTACAGGCTTGGTTCTCTTTCTGGTCGAGATGAATGAGCCATTTTCTAATCCTGCATCGGTTTCTGAGCTCTCATCAGGGACAGGTACCTCATTTGACCCACAACTCTCCCTCTCTGCTACTGCTAAATCGAAACATCTGCTTTTTCCTTGTCTGTGGCTGTTGTTGTTTGCTGACTGTTCAGATTGCTTGTTTGAATGGCTCTCGAACGAGAATTCAGGAGCTCTGGTGGCCATCCACCTTTCCAGCCAATGCCAACTCATGCTGGGCTGCTGCTGCTGTGTACGTTCGGTCCTAGCTTGCTTTTCCCTCGAGCATATCCGCAGCTTTAATGACAAAACAACGGTAGATTCAAATGACGCATAAAGATGACAACTTTGGAAGTGAATTATTAATATGTCTTCCATTTTCTTATGAATGGAGTGAATAATGTATCTTGATACCTGTTGCGATAAAGCGTAAGCAAGTGCTCTCTCACGGCGGTTAGTGGCGTCCAGTCTGTTCTGAATCCTCATTTTTAACACGTTGCTGCTAAGCGTGCTGTCATTCCAATCCTCCTGCAACTCGGTCAACAATTATAATCGTAGGGTTAGTTGCTTAATATTGGTTGTAACACAATGGTACTTGCCTTTTGGTGTGTGTTCTGGTGATCACCTTGGACATGAAATCCTGGCATCTGCTGGCTTTCTTTGTTTTGCGTTGGTCACCATTGTTTTCTTCTGTTATTGAGAGAGCATCTACCGAGTTACCAGTCTGAACCTCGATAGATGTGCTCACTGAGTACCTTCCAAGACTTCCACATCCCATTTCTGGGTGCAGCTCCTGCTTGTCATCAGCCCTCACTTTTGCTTGTTCCTCGTCCTGACGTCTAGCCTGAAAATTTTCAAGCATCCACACTAAAGGAAATAAGCAGAATTTCCTTTGCTTGTTGCAGTCATGGTCTGAAGAAGTAAAACTAACCATTAGCTTTCTGAATGCGGTCTGAATGATGATCGCTGCATCCTCCTGAAGGAACAAGCTAGACGTAGAACTCAGCTCCTTGTCCTTGATCATCGTCTCTTGGGTCTCCACAGAACCTTTTACTTGAGGACATTGTGAGACTGTAGCAGAATCCTCCTCCCCCTGAACCGAGTTAAACTCATCCCCACAAAGGTATGATCTCACCACACTCCACCTCTTCTTCTCACCACCGTTGCTGCGTCTTCCCTGAAAACCCAGAAAACCAATAGTCAACAAGAATCATTGAGCAATCATTTGATAATTAACCTTGTTTTCACTTACATTGCCATGATGATGACAAGTTCCAGAGGAAGCAGTAGAACGTGTCCTGGAGAAGGCACTCCTAACAATCCCTCCATTGATGCCCATAATAATACTATGATTATGAAGTTGGTAACCACAAGAAATCCCGGAAAAAAGAAGTCTTCACCCCTTTTCTTGTTTCTTTTCCTAATGGCTGGAATGAATAAATGAAGTCTGCCTGCAGGTTATATGGGAAAGAGCTGTGAAGAGAGGGGATACTCAGATTCCTTCAATAATTACAGGCATTCCCCCCGAAGAGAAAAGCTCTCGAGAGCCTGGCAGTTTCCCTTTCCCCAAAATTATCTACTTTGAGATCAAAGAAGAATGGTGGGTTGATGGGTATCAAAGCATAGGCTGTAAAAATCAAGCCTTTTTCATAGAATAATTGGGATTGTTGATGGGATTTTGCTTCCAGAGATTAGATTATGCAGATGGCTTGTAAGTCACCCTTTTAGAGGGCACATGGGTTGCTCTTGAACCAGGACAACAAAAGAAAACAACATCAAGTGTTGAGTTGTTGCCTTTCAATTTGCGCTAATGTGGGTGAACATGGCCTATAACTTTTGTTAAAATGACACCAATATCCAAGTCATTTTTAACCTTGTTAAGCTGATGAAACCCTTGGAGAAGGTTAGGTCAGTATGTCTGGTAAATAAAACTGTTCAAAGCTGCTGGTCTTTTCCAAAAGTAGCAGGATGAGATTGTTCATGATCATGGCAGGTGAAAGTTATGGGGGTTGTTCCTTTTTTGCAGAGAGATAAGAAGGGCACACATTTTTATTACTTTTGGTATAGTTTATGGTTCAGCCATTGAGCATAACTTTTCTGACCAAGACCCGTTTTGCAGAGGTACTAACTTCCAGAAACCACCAACAGAAGGTGGAGATGAAACGGACATGGTGAAAAACTAGAATCGATCAAAACATCGATTCATCTTTCGGCTTCTTTCAGACGTGGATTGGTAACGTTGGCCAACAAATGGAAGTGCCGTGCCCATCAAACTTTTTTTTTTATTCCTATCGAATTTGAATTGTAATAACTAATCAAACTCCATTTTTTGGTTAAGATTCAACCATAACAAATTCATGAATTTGAGTTAATGGATTGGTATGAGAAACACGATTCAAACGAAACTGATTTATATATCAAAATCCAATCAATCAATTAGCTTAGCCCCTACACTTTGGGTATGTGGAGTTTTCCTTTTCTGTGCAATACTCTATTTATGAATTATGAATATATGTTAGCATATAAATTATATATATATATATGGCGGCGTTTTCGGTGCACCCACGTTTTTGGGTGCACTGAATACACTCACTTTTCTGTTTAATCTTATTCATTGATTACATCTAACGGTTACAATAATTTGATGAATTTATAATTAATTATTAATTATTAACTATATTATATTTATTAAAAGAAGTTTAACTTATTAATAATTGCATTTAGACCCCAAATCCTCTCCTTCCCCGATTCTTTCCCCTTTTCCACCGTCAATTTATTCCGATGGCCTGGCCGTCGTCCTCTGTCCCAATTCTACCGAGTGCCGACAATAACAATATCGGAATTCGGAAGCAAGCTACTAATCGTTTCTGACTGAGAGTTAGATGAACGATTTCAAGGTTAGAGTGATTCCGAAATCCATGATAGACTGCGAACAGAGGAAAAGCGTACCAAACTTTAATTTAACGGAAGGAGATAGTTTAATTTAATTAGAGTGGTTAACTGCTGGGTTTTCTTTTGCCGCAAAGGAATAGATGGTGAAGCATTGAAGAAGCCTAATTCCGCTCAAAATCTGATAGGGAAACAAAAGCGAAGTACCAATCGGTTTTGATTAAGTTCACTTTTGATGATTTACACCTAACAAGATGCGTTCAAACTTCAAACCTTCTTTTCACACCATAGAACGACCACAGGATGCTGCCCTGTTTCCGGTGAGGCTGCGACAGGGGAACCAGCTCCACCTTCGTCGAAGCTTTTGCCCAGTTCGCCTCCACCTTTTAGCCAAACGACGTCTCTTGTTTGGGTTTCATATATTTAGGAAATGGACTAAAATTTGATGCTAATAAGAGCTTCGCTAGGCCTCAAGAATTGAGGCTTAAATAAGAAATAGAGAGTCCGTTAGCCAAGCAAGATTATTAAGTCCATAACCATAAACATAATTGCAGGAAGGAGAAGAGACTTTCTCGATCAAAAACAGATTCCCTTTTCTTCAACCTCCTTCTATCAGCAGCAGAGTGTTCCAACGACTTCCCTATCTCTTGTTTGGATGCATCGGAGACATCGAGATGAAGGTTTTCCCATCACGGAGTCGGCGGCGGCGGCGCATCACAGCCAGCGGCCGCACAATTCTTCAGATGGGAAGAAACTTAGAATTGAGGAATTGAAAAATAGTAAGCTCCGATTGTTTTTCTAATTTCCCGGAGGAATCAATGTTTAATTGGGAAGCTTGACGGAGCTTGGGTAAAGAAGAATTATCTGATTGTCTCTTTCCTTGTGAGGGAGAAATGAAGATGTCTCTGTTGGTGAGAGGAAGAAGAGGGGTTAGTAGAAAAGGGGAAAATAAACAGGGAAAAAGACGGTTAATGTTAGTGGTCTATTTGCAATTATTAATAAGTTTAAATTATTTTAATAAAAATTAAGTTTATAAACAAGTCAAAATCACTTTTGTTCTTATTAACCACTTCAAATAATTGACTTAGACGTCTATCAACTCAAGAATTAAGACAATCCATTTGAGAATTTACCTGATGAGAAGAAGCTCTAGCCTCCTCCATCATGCGGCGGTTCTCCACCATCATTTGGCGGTTCTCCTCTGTGGCTTGACGGTTCTCTGCCACCAGTTTGCGGTTCTCCTCCATCATTTGACGAAGGACCCCCACTGCTTCACCAATATCTCCACTAAGCGTTGTCGTTGGTAGGATCTCCGCCTCACCATTGTTTCCGGCCACCGCCTCCGACACTTGGCTATGTTCAATGTTGGCCACTTGCTCCTCCACAAAACCAGCCGGAGCGTCACCTTCTTGATCCTCCGCCTAGGAGCCATCAAATCGAACACACGGGTCCCACCGGGTGTGCCAATTTGTTTTCCCGGCGAGAAAATCTAGATGAACAGAATTGGATTTTGCACCTTTTTGACTTCCAAACAAACGATTAACAAACACGCTCCACACCTCTTTGAACAAAGTTCAAACAAGGGTGTTCGATGTTCTTGGTGATCTACGAGGCGAACTAAATTACATTAATTCTACTCCTATGGAGGTTCAACGAGAGCTCCGAAACTACAACTATGGCTACATTTGCAGAGGAAAAGGTAAAGATAAAAGGATAAAATTTGACGATAGGTTGTCTGGTGTGATTTTGGCGAACCCTTTCTCTATCATCTTCACCTCCTATTTATAGCCACCAGAAGTAACTGCCCCAAGAAACTGCTCTGCTGACGTGCTGTGACGGTTACCCACTCAAATGCTATGACGGTTACCCTGATGTTGGATGTGGGATCCTCTTCAGTCTTGACTTCATCCTCTTGAGACCTCAACCTCTGCTCTTGGCATCTCCTTCGTTGTTTTGCTTATCCATAGAGTAAAAATGGCTGCTCACATGACCCCCTTGCCTTGGCCATACCATGGGGGTGTACATTGGTGACCCCCTCACCATACCATTGGGCATCCTCCATGGGGGTCATATGGATCACCCCCGCCACTATATCATCCTCATGGGAGCCGGCGTTAGTGACCCCCCACCCCCGATCATACCATGGGGGTGGTATGGGAGCCGTCGTTAGTGACCCCCACCCCCTGATCATACCATGGGGGTGGTACGTTGGTGGTCCCTCTCACCATACCATTTGGGGCATCCCCCATGGGGTCATATGGATCACCCCACCACTATATCATCCTCATGGGAGCTGGCGTTGGTGACTCCTCACCCCCTGATCATACCATGGGGGTGCTATGTTGGTGGTCCCCAGACCACCTCATGGGGGTGCTCCTTCCACCCTTATCATCTTCCATGTCATGGGGGTGGCGGTATGATGTCCACCCCCCTTGCCATGTCCTGGGGGTGGTGGTATGATGGCCACCCCCCTTGATACCTCCTGGGGGTGGTGGTATAACGCTCACCTCCTTGCCACGTCCTGGGGGTGGTACTATGGTGGCCACCCCCCCTTGGTACCTCTTGGGGGTGGTATGATGATGGTCACCCCCCTTGGCACCTCCTGGGGGTGGTGGTATGATGCCCACCCCCCTCACCATGTCCTGGGGGTGGTATGATGGTGGTCACCCCCCCTTGATACCTCCTGGGGGTGGCTACCATACTCCTTGCCTTAGCCAAATTCGGCCATCACCCCCCTTACCACGTCGTGCCCCCTAGTTAATCCAAACTACTACTAATCATACTCCATGCCAATCACCATCACCTCCATGTCTTGTCATGGGGTATATAGTTCACACCATACAAAATTTTAAAGTTTGGCATGGTTAGGCCACCTTAATGGCCTGACAATACGAGTAATGATTGAGGCTTACTAGTCGTGGCAAGATTCTCACATCAAAACCTACTAACTTCTTCTGAAACTTGCCACTTTGGGATTTTAAATATATATATATATATATAGCCATGATTGGCTTTTCTATATTAATTAATATTTTTTTTTACTTTTTTTTATTGTATATAATAAGTAGTTACAGACATCATTGATCTCCATACCCTTTGGCAATAACCAAAGTGCCAAAGGTATACATCCACTGCCAAGTCCATGTATTAAACCAAACAAGCCAACCATACACCATATGGCCATGGTTATTCAAAGGAGATGATTCTTCACAAGCTGACTTTGAATCACCCCCTACACCATTTTTTCCCTTCTGACCCTTACCATCACTTTGGACTTGGGCATGCTTGCCCTTGTCAGACACTATCACTTTGGAACCCGTGTTCATAGAGTTGTCCACCTCAATGCTAGCATGACCATCCTCATTTTGTTGTGTTGGTCTCACCATCTCACCAGGTACTACTGGGTATTGCCCCTTTAGTGCTTTGACATTCTTATGTAGGAATCTCCTCCTTTGAGTCTTTGTCATCCCC